TCTCTATTTATCTATCTATCTATTTATCTATCTTGTGCCACCCTCACTCAATTCTACGAAATTTATATCCTGTACCTTCCCAGGGACTCTTACATTTTATATGGAGACGTCTATTTACAATCGAAATCTATCTAAAGCGGGGCAAAATAAAATTTAATATATGCTCTATAAGCACGTCCCGATATTTATATCCTGCATTTTTTTTAAATATTATATTACAATCCGTAATTTTGGGTTACAGTATGTAATTTGATCGTATATAGAAAAATTTACAACCATTTACTTATTGGGGGGAGCTTATAATAAATATTATTCTCCCAATTCTCTTCATTGCAATATTATGTGTTTTATTGTATTATTAGTCTAAATAAAGTTGAAAATTTCACGGACACGCCTAATAGGGTTGAAAAAATGTTTTCCGTGTAAACAGAAAGCAATTTGAACCGGGATTTTAAATTTTGGTCACTACCTTTCGAAAAGGAGGTCTAAAACAGAAAGGCGGAAATTAATTTTTTTGTTTTATGACAGAGTAACAATTGTGGGCCCTCTGGCGTTTCGAAGGGGGAGACAGACGCACTCCCCGATGATACTAATTGACGACATATGGCCATCCTCGTGCGCGCTCCCTTTCCATTTTAAGGATTTGATCTCAATCTATTCAAATCCAAATCAAGGATGAGCTGCCTCATTTACAACGTAAATTGAAACAATGTACCATATCGAGATCAAGAGTGCAATCAGGCAACAGCTGTTTTTTCGAATGATAGACATCGTCTAAGATTTTAGCATTAAAATTAAAAACAACCAATGTAAAGCCAGATAGGCTGTTTATATAAAAAATTTAAAATTTTTATTTTTTTAGCCTTTTTTTAATGTATACAATCTAACATTTCTGTTTCTATTCACCTCCTCAATATTGATTCAGAAGGATCCATTTTTTTTTTTTTTTAATTTGACTTAATAAAACAGAAACAATGAAATTAAGCTATAAAAGACCAAGTGTATTGTTTAATTTTATAACACGTTTCTTGTCATTCGGCTAATTATACTTTTACAGCAGCTCTATCGAAACTGGTCATCTTTTCTGCTCCCATCCTGGCCAGATGGTTTACGTTGAACTGTGTAGGTCGAAAGATTTCTTGTTTTAGTATTATATAGAATTTTTTTTCTATTTCATAACACTTCATTTTGTCAGATCTACATCCAAGCTCAGCAGCGCGATGAACCCGCTGTTTGGCTCAACTAACCTTGTTGTATACGTACGTTAGAAGCTTGTCGGCTTCTCGCCGTCTTCAGTCTGTAGCGATTTTATAACATGTTTGTTTTCATTCGGCTAATTATACTTTATATAACAGCTCCATAAAAACTTGCCGTTTTTGCTCGACAATTTTTGCTCTCCCATCTAGGCCAGGTGGTTTACGTTAAACTGTGTTTGAAGGGCGATATAGTGCTTATTTTTTAGCCTTATATAAGAAAAATTTCACTATTACATAGCACTTTGTCCTGCCGGATTTCCTGTCGAACTCAACGAGGTTATGTACCAATCAGTCTAACCTCGTGATTTCGCCTGTCAAATGTTTTCGGCTTCTCTTCATCGTCAGTAGTTGGTCGTAGTAAAATGTGTCAGACAAAACTGTCAACATAGGCAGATGAAATAAGATTATTTTCGTTTCGTTAACATAAATAATTGCATCACAATAGTTCTATTGTTTGGCTTGTTTTAGAAGGATTCTCTCCAGCCTTAACCCTAAGGATCTTATCGTAATCGCTGTATTTTTACCTTACATATTTCTTTTACGTACAACATGAACATTGGTAAATATGGGTCTTTTGCTCGAGTCCGGTTGGCGTTCTGTTGAATTGCAGTATCCAGCGAAGCGGATATTCATCATTCATACAGGTATGTAAACCTGTCGACGCTCTTTTTGTAACTTTTAGGTCTTTATGTAACGGCTAATTTGAAACACACCAAAGAGCATTGATGATCAGATGTACAACATATTTATTTTGATGTTGCTGTCTATCACATTACGTCAGCCTGCCATATGGGATTGGAAACGCGTACCCTGATTTCCTGGCCAATTCGCTGATATGTTATTTAATATATTATTATTTACTATGATTCCAGTTATATGGTTATGCCAGTTTGAGGAACATCTCAATTGAATTTGAATTTCTCAATTGACTGCCGATATTCTTGTTTCTTTGAATACTTATGGGTTTTTTCTTTCATTCTTAAGTTTGTTTGTTTACCCAAAGTAAGTAATCACAATTCCACGCCGTGTCTTATCAATTTAAAAGTGAAAATACAAAAGTGAAAAAAATCTCTTAATTTCCTCTTTCCTGACGAATCGGACTCATCTCATGGCCCGATGAGATCATGAGGGTATGCAGAGTCGCTCAACCCGTATGAAAGTTAAATTCAGTGGACCAGGTGCGCTTTGTCAAGGTTTTCCGCCGATTCGAATCAGAGAGAAAACCGAGGCCACAATCTCAATCTGACATTGTATTACACAAAAACTGAAATTATAGTCTATTTCATAAGCTGCGGATTGACTTTCCGCGAAGTTTCGAACGATTACTCCCGGGAGGGCTTGGCCTCGGCATTATTTTATTATTTACCTGATGGCCGAGACGATTTGCTCATTGGAGCTATTGGATTAGTCACGGACTCATTAGTAATTGAAACCGCTTAAAAATTCGATCACCCTTCCAACAAAAAAAAATACAGAAAGGGTTGGGCTTTCTATATTTAAAAATTCAAGGGCAATCTAGAAACACTCGCCTGATTAGATTTCGAAAAGTATTGATAACTTCCAAGTTACGTACTTGCATCGAACAAAGCCGTATTTTAATTACTAAACATTACAGAATTAATGTATTACTATACTTATTAATAATTTAATTTACTGATAATTTTGAGTTGGGTGATATGAGAAAAACTTCAGCCTGGTGAAATGAACATGTCAGTTCATTTATTTTACAGAAGGTAAAACAATAAGGATAACAAGTTTTAAGACGTAAGTGCTTGTAATTAGAAACGAAGAATTAACATATTATTGATATAGATTTTTATGGGTCATCTTAAATACAAACTGTTCTATGACTATTTGGACACTTTTAACATTTAACATGTAGCAATGAAAAGTCAAAATTTACTCAATCTACCCCATAATGAACCTCCCAACCACAGCTTTCTCTCAGAAAAAAAATTCACCAAAAAACCATTTTAAAACGTCTACTGACCATCCAAGATTTATATAAAGTCATTACTTCCTTTCGATTCAGTTTCTTGGAAATAAAGGTGGAGACTACCTCATCTGCATCGACTTCCTCAGATCGATTACTGCTGTTCGAGACAGGTTCTTTCTTACTCGACCATCTAGTTGCGCTCTTCGTGGAAAGATACTATGAACTGGAGCGTCTTAGCAAAACGTTGGCTGTTGTCTGGGTACTTGGACACATAAGTCTGGAAGTTAACGAAAAGGTTAAAAAAGAGCTCTCGCGTATGAGTAAGAGTACTGTCAATAGGTGGCCCTCGAAGTACCTGACTCGTATAAAAAGTGTCATCCTCACCAATTAAGAATAGTTCGTGCGCTGTTGACACAGACAGTTACATTTTGGTCAGTACTCGCGCATGTGCCCGGCATGTAGAGGAAAGATTGTTAAATGTGTCACGCTTAAGTAATTGGTCTTGATCACGACAGCAAGTAACTGGGTCCTCTGTTTCGATTTTTTGATTAAACAACAGAATCTTTTCGTTACCTAACCTCCTTACTTAACCACTGCGAACCGGCATACAGATGGTAAAGAAAATGGCAGCCTAGGTGTGCCAGATTGGCAGAGGAGATCCCACGTATCAAGGGCACAGTCCGTAGGTGGCCCTCAAAGGATCTGGCTCGGATAAGAAAGGTCATCCTTACACGATTAAAGATATGGGCCAAAGCCTGCGTATACGCATATAAAGAAATTTTGGTCGAAGTTGCTCCACTTAATTGAAGAGTTACATTCCTTGTCTCAGTATAGATCGCGTTTAGAAATGCTACCAGAATGTGCTTGAGCGGCATCGAGTCTCCTGTTTCGTTTTTTATAGGAAACGTAATTGTAAATAGTGCTTTATCAAATCCGGTCTAGCGTTTCTTAGTGTATATTGAAAATGAATGTATTTATTAGCGTGAATGTGAAATGTGAAGGGCCAATGGCGTCGCTTCCAGAGTTGGTTCGAGTGTGATACCAACTTATGCAGTCGATTCCAGTGTAAGTGGTCCGTAGCCGGTTCCAGTGACAACTTAAGTAGTCCGTCCAAAGTTCCAAGGTGAAGCCGGTCTAAGCAGTCCGTAGTCGTTTTCTTACGAGGTCGCCTTAACCGTGACACCAGAAAGTCAAGTTATAATTAAATAAAACAGAAAAAACAACCTATTGACTAGGAAAACTGCATTGAATTTGATGAAATTTGAGCGCAATAAAAAATAAATTTCTAAAAAATTGAATTTGTATCAGTTCTAAACATTAAAATCTTACGGTTTTTTGACTGATCCAGTTTTGGCCTGACGGTGCAGATTTTCTGTAAAACCAACTAGTTAAGTCTGATTTTATCTGGGATTTTCTAGAAGAAATTACGCAAGATAAATAAATAAATGTAACAGTAGACGTAATAAATAAAATAGACGATAAACCACGATTTTAATAAATTTATGGATTGTTAACAGTCCTGAAAACTTAATAGTAATTGTTTTTGTATCGATCGCCCATTGGTCTGAAGGGTGTGAGTGTATGTTGAGTGTTCCGTCCTTGATTTGCGACGAGTGGGTCCGTTTGGCGTCGCCCCCTCCACGTAGTACGTGGCCGGGCCGGGCTGGGATTGGTTCCGCTCCGTCCCGTACTGTCGTTCATCCCCTTCCGAGCGGCCAATCGCCTCCTGCCCGGGCCCCACCAATCACTGGCAATCACTCCTCCTTCTCCTCCCTTCGGCAAAGCTTTCAGTCAACCTCGAGCTTCGCTTGAGTCCACAAGTGTGAAAAGAGTGCCTCTCGGACTCGACAGACGATACTTCACCACGTGAGTACTGCTTTTTCAAAGTTTTTATTCCATTTTTCAATTCCTTCGTTTACGTTCAGGTACTTTTAGTCTAAAATGCTAAGAAACAGCCAGCATAGATTGTTACCGAATCAGTCAAAAAAATTTACTTTGCAAATTTTTTTTAAAACATAAATAATAAACAAAGTTAGATCACCATATCATGATTTATATAAAACCTTTGTTAGTAAAGGCAATAACATAATCAATAATAGCTTTCATAATACTTACATTTAACAAGAAAATTATGGATCAAGGTTCAAACGAATTTGAAAGAAAGAAGAACAGTCTTGAAGCTTTTTTGTTTGTTCCTTCATCAGGACATCGAAACTTATTTTTAAGACAATTGTGATTTAGATGATGTGATGATTGGCGGATAGATCTCATCCACTTTACGAAGCAAAACGCATGATTGGTTAAAGAAATAATTTCAGTGTTTTTATTGCATTTCTCAAGTCCTTAGCTTAAGTTTGAGCAATTTTCGTCTAAAATGAACAGAATTGGCAAGCGCAAATTTTTTTTACCGAATCCGTCAAAAAATTTTGACCTCGAAAATTTTTTTAACATAAATAATGAACAAAGTCAGATCACCATGATTTATATGAAAACTTTGCTATTAAAAGCAAACAACATAATAACAACAGCAAATAACATAATAAAATAATAGCTTTCATAATATTTAAATTCAACAAGAAAATTATGGATACAAAAGATCAGGAATCAAAACAAATTTGAAAGAAAAAAAGAACTTTCTTGAAGCTTTTTGCTTTATTCCTTCTTCAAGACATCGAAACTTATTTCTAAGACGTAATGTAGAATGGACTGGCTATAGATCTCGACTACAATTTTACTCTAAAATGAACAGAATTGGCCGGCACAGATTTCTTTTTTACCGAATCAGTCAAAAAATTTTACCTTTAAAAAAACAAAAACAATTATAAATAAACAATGGAAAGTCAGATTATCATATTATGATTTATTTAAAAACTTTGTTATTAAAGGCAATAACATAATAAAAAGAATAGCTTTTTTAATACTGCATTTCAACAGGAAAATTATACAAAAGATCAGGGATAAAACGAATTTGAAAGAAAGAAAGAACACTCATTTCTTAAGCTTCTTCGGTTTATTCCTTCATCAGGACTTCCAAACTTATTTCTAAGACAATGTGATGTAGAATGGCTATAGATCTCGTCCACTTTACTAAGCAAAACAAATTGAAGACATAATTTCGAATATGATAAGTATATCATTAGTTTCAAGTCATGATGAAAGAATAAAGTGAAGATGTACGGTTTGTTATTTTTATTATTATATGTGTATTTTTGTGTTGTATTCCAATTAACTACAGGGTTTTTAATTTCGAAAATTAATTTGAAAGGGCAGATGTAAGTTTAGAAAAACATTTTCCTTGTTGTGCCAAAAAGTTACAAAAACCAAATCAACTTAACAAATCTGTGAGTAGAATCATCAAAATCATCATACAAAAAATGAAAAAACATTTTTGTTGAATCATAAAAAAAACCTTAAGTACGAATTTGCATAAACATACAAAAATTGATATTTTTGGCTGTATTCGCCTCAAATCCCCCCCCCATATTATGTGTTCTTAAAAGGCATAAAACATCCGGATTTTACTCAGGTACAACGTTATCACAATTATTCGAAAGTATATTTATTCATCTTTTAGACTTTCCTTACGAGATATTTGATTTTATGTCAGTTAAAGTGAGAAAAACAAGAATAAAATTTTAAAAAATCTTTAAACGTTTTATTTGATATCTCTAAATCTAGTTTATTTACAGGGCACTCTCAACACGACACGCAAGAATGGTACAATTACACAGAAGACAAACACTTAGCCCTTAAAGATGATCTCAATAAAGATCGAAACGTTGGCGCGATAAAGAAAGTGTTTTTCTGAAACCTACGTCACACCAGACCGCATCTCACGATTTCTGAATAATTATCGATTAACGGTCACTAATCACCACACATTTATTTACAGAGACCAAATGTGTTTATTACATGTAGATTCTAGGGTTCGAAATCCTTGCAAAATCTTCTCTCTTCTCTTCAGTGAAGCCATTTTTAAATCATCAACATTCTTGTGAGTTTCGAAAAAAAATTGGTGGTTTTAGAATGCAAACGAACAATCTGAGAAATTTGTCCAAAAATTTTATTGAGAGTTTTTTTCTGGCTCAGAAAATGAATATCAACTTAGATTCTTGCTAGAAAAAAAAAGAAAAGAAATATATATATTTAACCTAATTTAACCTAAACATAAAAACACGGAAAGAGTCGATCTGCGGGCGATCAAATTCGACCTTACAATACATAATTATGTATAACGTAATAGTTTTATTAATTAATTTTACATGTGTCTGTTACTAAACAGGCGAAATTTCTAATTAATCTCATGTTGTTTGTAATAATATTCAACAATTTTGATAGAAAATATTTAATCGCTTTTATTTATGTATAATATTCATACAATTCAAATATCAAAAATTAAAAAACAAATGCTTTTCTTAGGAAAATCTACCTTTGATTATGCAAAAATTAATATTTAGTCAGACGACGAATCGGCCAAACTGTTGGGCAAATGTAGTAAAAATAATTTGTATCATTTATTGTATTTATTTTGAATTATTTAACCATTTTCTTTTTAGCATTAACACTTCCACTATCTTTTTATTATATTGTTTTCTTGTAAAAACATCAATAAAACCGCGCAAATAGTGTGACAAGCGTCCTGTTTGCACTTGGTACACAGAATTGATTTCTAGTGTTTCCTGTGCACAAACAAAAAAAATTTATGAGCACCGGAAAGTAGGGTATAAAAATGTACATAAAACCCTTATACATTTCCCTTAAATAGTTATAATTTATAAATAGTTTTCTATCATCGAAGCGTTCTAAGATTAAGAGCCAAAAAAATATATAATTTATTTTAAATAAATTTTTGTATGTACATTTCTAAATACAGTACTTTAAATAATAGGATTTTTCAATCTTCAGTTTTTTCACAATTTCATAAGCCAAATATTTCATTTTTATTCCAAATCCGTGCTTACGTAATGTAACTCGATGAAAATTTGAGAAACTGACTTTTTCGATCGTGTACAAAGCGAAAATAATCCCACTTGATACACTATGAATCAACCCGTTGGTCTAGAGTCGCCCGTGTAAATCAGCAAGACAGGGCCACACGGACCCCCATCGTTCGGCGGAATAACCGCTTTCATTTTCACCTGTCTCCAGCCCAAACTGACCTTGTTCAAAATATGCAAATGACAGTTTTAATACAATTTTTGAAACTCGCCCAGCATCAATTAACAGCGCAAATTACAATGAAAACAGGCGGATTTCTTCACCTTGAAACCGCAAACTGTTTACATTCAGTACAAGATCAATTTGAATCTGTTTATCCGATTGTGTGTTCGAGTTGAATTTCAAATTATTCTCAAACTATTTGTCGAATCTCCCAAATTTGTATTATTAGTCATTAATCTAGTTAACAAAAATTTAAATTTCTTACGTTGTTATACACATTTGCTCAAAATTGGGCCTATTTAATTGAGAGTTAACTTAAAGCCATGTACGTCTTGATATAAACAACCTCTTTTATGTCAATAATAATTCATTGAGTTAATGGTAGCGACAGTTTCCTCAAGACCGATTGTTTTTAGTAATGTGTGGTGGGTAGTGACCGTTAATCGATAATTATTCAGAAATCTCACGATTTCTGAATAATAATTGTTTTTAGTAATAATGGCTGATTCAGGAAAAATTAAAAGAAAGGTTTATTTAAGAAGTTTTTTATTTCGTCGTTTAAGTATCACACAACATACACTACACAAGTTCTTTACGCATTTTTCCATTTGTCCTATTGTGTCACTTTAGATTTCATAGTTGGGCTGTTTCAGATTATTCTAATCCGATTTGTCGTTGTTGGTTTGTCTCTGTAAAGCCTGGTCCGAGTTACAAGTAGTCTGAAGTAAGGCTGCACAACCACCCCTACAGCTTCTTGTAGTTTTGTCATTTTCGATTATTTGATCTGCCAGAGGCGTTTAAGCATTTCGCCATCTTCAGTGGTTCATCGGTGGGTTATATTTTTAAATCGTATTCGTTCTTATAATTTTGACTTCCCACCGCAGACTTCAAGAGTGCTTTACATAAATGTCGCTGTTGTTCGATTTGGTGGATTAATTTATCTTGGTTTTGACCGGCCTTAAGACCTAAGTAGTTTGATCGTTTTCAATGAACCTGGTCCGCTTTCCCTCGCTCTTTATTGGTTTATCTGAAGCGTTTCGTCATTTTCCTTTCCTCGGTAGGGAGTTTTTGAAGAAACCATGGTTCACTTTAATTGATTTAACTGTCAAATTCTTTCTTAATCTCTGCTGGATAATGTCAAAATTATAAACGTTCACACTGTCAAAAATACTCACATACTAACCAATAAATAGGGACATTCTTAGACGATTCTGCCAGACCAAATAATATAAAACGTCACAATTATAGGACACTAGACATTATACTGCTTCCGTCTTCTTATTTCCGAATTGATTTAAAGTCGCAGTTCCAAAATAAATTATTTTGGACAGTCACGAATTTGCAAGTTCATAGATACATATCAATTGACCTTCTTTGTGCCGAAGTCAAGCTTGGCGCTGTCCAATAATACTTGTATCCTGTCTCGGATCGTGTAAAAACAATTAACAAAAGGACACAGGGACCAGCTGGCTAGAAGCCGAAACGTGTCTGTCCCGTCAAATCAGCGAGGATAGGCGGACCATCGGAAACGACCATATGGCAGGTTCATCTCTTTGCACAGTTCAAGGAAAAAATCTTATAACAAATGATCTTGCTGAATTTTTGTTTGCCTAAACTCAACGTTGGGCGTTGTGTGGAACAGGTCCTTTTAGACTAATGATCTAATCTCATCATAATCGTAGGAAATATAATAATGTCAGCTTGTA